GTGGCCCAGCCATACTCTGCTTCCTATCACTGGATTTCTATGAGATCCAATAACCCTCTTGAAGTGAGTTTCTGTCTTTTGCCACCATACTTTGGCTGCTTATTGTTCTTATGCTATTAACTGCTTGAGTGCAGATGCTATGTATGACCTTTATTTCACTGTAAGTGAGTTGTCCATCATATATGCTTTCTACACACTGGGCATTCTTGCTACCCACAATCCTATTCAGCAACATGGACTGCAGAAGGCATTCTCCTTCAGATGAACCTACTCGGTTCCATTTTTGTTCTCAGTCAATTTGTGCTAGAATGGGCAACCAAATCTGCCACTCTTACACAATCCAAAATAGCCATCTCAGGTAGAAGTTTTTAGTCATAAGGAAAGCCAACCTCCTGTTGGAATAAACAATTTAGAGTGTAAAAGGAAATAGGTAGGAGGCCCAGAGTCTTGATTTATGATTGTGAACAGAAATAGATCAAAGATAACATCAGCCCTGACCGGGTGGCTCAGTTGGTTGGAGCACCAAAAGGGTGTAGGTTCAATTCCAGGTCAGGGCACATATCTAGATTGCCAGTTTGATTCCCCAGTCAGGGCAAGTACAGGAGAAAACTGATCAATTTTTCTCTCTCACATTGATGTTTCTCCCTTTCTCTTCCCCTTCCCTCCCTCTAAAATTAATAAACATATCTTCAGTTGAGAATTAAAAAAAATAAAATAAAATAAACATCAAATGGCTGCTATGGGTAGCTGGTGACAGGGCAAAAAACTAGCAAAAAAAAGGGCCCTGTAAGTCCTGATAATTCAAGCACCTAACACAATACACAACAGATCTGTGTGAGACACTAAATACATATTTGTTGAGTAAATAAGTAATTGAAGAGCTAAATGAATTAATGGTTGAAGTATGGTATACTGAATAGAATACTGGGGCCCTGGCTGGGTAGCTCAGTTGGTTAGAGTATTGTCTCCAATTCGCAAGGCCGCAGGTTCAATCTCCAGTCAAGGCACATACAACAAGCAACCAGTGAATGCATAAATAAGTGGAACAACAAACTGATGTTCCTCTTTCTCCCTTTCTCTCTCTGAAAATCAATTTAAAACAAAACACACACAAAAAAGAATACTGGGCTCTGGCTGGTGTGGCTCAGTGGACTGAGCACTGGACTGTGAAACAAACGGTTGCCAGTCGAATTCCCAGTTAGAGCACATGCCTGGGTTGCAGGCCAGGTCCCTGGTGGGGGGCACATGAGAGGCAACCACACATTGATGTTTCTCTACCTCTCTTTCTCCCTTGCTTCCCCACTCTCTAAAATATAAAAAACTTAAAAATTTTTTAAAAAGTCGAAAGAGAAAAAAATCCCTGAAACATATAAATAGAATCACAGTTAAAAAGATCTAGCTCTACTATAAAAGTACAATTACCTGTTTGCAGATATAATCTTATATGCAAAAAATCCTAAATATTCCACAAAAAAACCTGTTAGAACTAATAACTGAATTCAGCAAAGCTGTAGGACACAAAATCAACATCCCCAAATCAGCTGTATTTCTATACACTAACAATGAGCAATCAAAAAAAAAAATTTAAGAAAACAATTCCATTTACATCGAAAAGAACAAAATAGTTATTAGGAATAAACTTAATGAAGGAGGCAAAAATGCTTGTACTCTGAAAACTACAAAATGCAGCTTAAAGGAATTACAGACAATACAAATAAATGGAAAACATCTACATCTGTGTTCATGGGTTGGTTAATATGTCAATAATGCACAAAGCAATACATAGATTTAATATGACCCTATCAAAATCCCAATCACATATTTGTGGAAATAGAAAATACATCCTAAAATTCATATGAAATTTCAAGGGACCCCAAATACCCAAAATAATCTTGAAAAAGACCAAAGTTGGAGGACTCATATTTCCTGATTTCAAAACTTAATACAAAGTAAGAATAATCAAAACAGTGTTGGACTAGCATACAGACAGACATATAGACCAATGGAATAGAATAGAGTCAGAAATAAAACCTCAGGTATATGGTCAAATGATTTTCAACAAGGGTGCCAATGCCATTCAACAGGAAAGAACAGTCTTTTCAACAGAGTGTGCTAGGAAAACTGGAGAGCCACATGTGAAAAAAAAAATGAGGCTGGACCCTTACTGTACCACATACAAAAGACAAAACAAAAAAAATCTCAAAAAGGGTCAAAAAACTAAATAAAGTTAAAAGTATAAAACTCTCAAGCTTTATGACATTAAATTTGGCAATGATTTCTTGAATGTAAAACCAAAAGTATAGGAAACAAAAGTAAAAAAATAGGTTAAGTTGGATTTAAGATTAAAAATTGGGTGCATCGAAAGACATTGTCATGTGATTATCTACAACTGAACTGTACATTTAAAAATGTTATGATAGCAAGTTTTATGTGTTTTTTCACCACAATTTTTAAAAAAAAGGTAGACCTGAGAAAAACCCCAAAACAGGACACTATCAACAGAGTGAAAAGGCAATCTATAGAATAGGAAAAAAATATGCAAGTCATATAACTAATAAGGATTGATGTCCAGAATACATAAAGAATACCTTGAACCCAAGGTCCGTATTTCAACCCAGTCTCTGACCACAAGCCTGCTGCTTTTAAGCAACAGCTACTTGAAGCTGACTTACATTGGGCTTTGCTGTATGTCTGGTGCTGTGCTCAGAGTTTTACATGCATTCTAGTAACTTTATGAAGTAGATGCTTATTATTCCCATTTCAAAAATAGGGAAACAGATTTCAGAGAAGTTCAGTAATTAGCCTAACTTCAATTTCTTAATTCTCAAAGCAGGACTGTTAGAGGATTGAACTAAGGATGAAACCTGGGCAGTCTCTCTGTCTTATCAGTCCAGGTTCTTAACTACCACCCTCTACTGCCTCCAAAAATGCAATTCCTCAGCATCCACCTGATGTTAATATGGTACAGCCATTGCAAATGAGCGGTACTGAGACTAAGTGACAAAAATTGAAAGATACTTATGATGAAGTAAAAAAGTGGGAAACAAAATTGTACATATATTTTTATTACACCTAGGTAAAACATTTAAAAACAGCTGGTAGAAAATATGTGCCACAATAATATAAATTCTGGTAAAGTGGTCAGATTATGGACTGCCTTTCTTTTGTTTTATATTTCAACAATGTGGTTATACAGTGGAAACTTCCCTTTTCCCTCTTTAAATCAAGTCTTTGGATCGCTACAAGAGAGGTTCTGGAAACACTAACATCAAGAAATAAAGGCATGATAAACAAAAAAGAAAAAAGAAAAGAAATAAAGGCATGAGCCCTGGCCATGTAGCTGAGTTGGTTGGAACATTGTTCCATGCACTGAAAGGTTGCTGGTTCAATTTCTGGTCAGAGCATGTACCTAGGTTGTGGGTTTGATCCCCAGGGTGTATACAGGAGGCAACCAATTGATGTTCCTCTCTCACATCAGTATTTTTCTCTCTCCCTTCCTCTCTCTCTAAAATCATGGACAGTGGAAACATGTCCTTGGGTAAGGATTAAAAGAAAAAGAAAGGTTTGTAAGGCTAAATCCTGTGTTCAGAATAAAGCAACATATCCCTTGGCTGGTGTGGCTCAGTGTACTGAGCACCAGCCTACAGACTGAAAGGTTGCCAGTTCAATTACCAGTCAGGGCACACCAGATCCCCAGTTGGGGGCGTGCGAGAGGCTACTAACCGATGTTTCTCTCGCTCATTGAGATGATTCTCCCCCTCTTTTCCTCTCTCTCTAAAAATAAATAAAACCTTTAAAAAATAAATAAATAAAGCACCAGTGCGGGTTTCAGCTGGTTGAGCATCATCCAGCAAAAGGGTTCTGGGTTCTGTTCCACGGCACATATGGGAGACACACTATTATCAAAGATCAGAACAATCCCATTGTGAAAATTAAAAAACTGAAATTAGCCCAAAGTCACAAAGCTGGAAAGTAGCACAGACGAGCCTCAAACCGAAGTCTGATGGACTTCAAGCCAAAGTGTGAGGTGCCTGTAGGATAATAGTTAGAGATGTGGGAGTCACCGAGCCAGCTAAAGTCCTAGGAAGGATGTGATCACCCAGGGAGAGAACACACAGATCAATAAATTATTATTCATATACTTGGCTAATTCTTATATTATTAAAATAGGTCTTTTCACCTATAAAATGGATATAATACTTAATTTGTAGATAGTGCCCACTGAGGGCAAGGACTTTATCACAATTTTTGTATTCCTAGGTTTACAGTGCCTGGGACAAGCTGACTGCAATAAAAGTTTGCGCAGCATTAAATGAAACAAAACAAAACTCTAAAACTTAATAACTGGCCACAATTTGAAAAATACTATACAACATGAAAACCACTATTTTCTGACCAAACTATAGCATTTTTTTCATTTCCTGTGTAGTACGTGACTAATTACAAATGTACTGTTCTTCTGCACCACCACATCTGTTTTATAAATAAATTCTCCTATAAGTAGTAGATGGGAGACAAGACATTCTTATCCAAAGAAAACAGTAAGATACGTGGCCAAAATTTAGATTGGAAGTAATCAAAAACAACAGAAAAATTATTATATAAAACATCATACAGCCACAGAACAGACAGAATACCATATGTTGCTCTTAAATCAAATTTTTGAAGAACACTTAAGTATACTAGAGAATGCTTTTGATAAGTATAATGAAAAGAGTAGGATATAAACTATACCTAGTACGACCATAGTTTTGTGTTTATATGTATATGTAGTATCATTGTGTGTGTATGTGTGTGTGTGCGTGTGTGTGTGTAAATTATTACCTAGAAAAAAGATTAGAATATACCAAAAATACTATAAGAATTTCCCTGGGTAGAAAGATTACGAAGATCCTAATATTCTTTAGGTTTTTCAGTATTTCTAACATTTCTGCAAAAAGTACATTTTCATTTTAAAACAAACAAAAAAAAAGATAAAATAAAAGCAAGATAGCACTCACTTTCTTTCTTTTTCTAGAATTCTTTGTGGGGTCAGGCTTCTCAAACTCTGCTGACTTTGGCTCTTCCTTCTCTTCCTCATCATCAGGTATCAGAGAGTATTTGGTCCCGCCTGGCTGCATGAAACAATCCTTTGCAAAGTGGCCTGCAGAAGAGAAGCAGAAAAGGTAGAGAGAAAGAATCAGTCTTTCCTCTCAGCCGGTGGATGTTCCCCATAGGCTCCTGGAAGGGGCTAGCCGGTTCAGCAGCTATTATTGAGTTCATTCAGAGCAGCTATTGGATTCAGAGTAGATTTTCTGTCACCTCAAGAAGGCATTACTCACTCAACCAGAGCCAGGCTAGCAGCTGGTCCTAAAGCTGTGGGAAACACTGGCGCTGCTTTGGAAATGGCAGAGGATATGAGGATGCAGGCGGGTGCTGCCCTCCATTAGCAATGGAACTTAATAATTTTTAAAGATCTATTTGGAACTTACTCCTGACAACAAAAGGCTGCTCCAGAGCGCAGAACGCTTAGCAGAAGGAGCCAAGGGGCAGGCCAAGACCCTAAGGAAAGACAGCTCTCAGGCAGCTGGCAGGAAGGCAGCATCCAAGCTAGCACACAGAGAGACAGTCAGAGTCACCTAGGAGCAGTCAACATTCACAGACTGTCAGGGCTGGCAAGAGCCCTAGAGATCATCAAATCCAACACTGCATTTGCAGAGAATATGAAGGCCCAGAGTAGAAAGTAGCTCAAGGTCACGCAGATAGCAACAGAGCTAAAACTTACCTGGGGTCTTGTGCCTCCCTGCCCTGCGCTCTTTCTGTTGCACCAAAACCAACCACCTTTGGCCCAGCCTTTGCTGACTGGGTCAAATTCCATCTCCCATTATTCTTCTCTGCCTCATGTAACACCTGGTGGACACAAGTTAAAGGTAAGAAGACCCCACCCTCCCTGAGCCTACAGTGCTATCAAAGGCCCCTTTAACAGATGCTACACAGCTGGTTTTGCTTGAACTTATTGTAGATCCTACCTCAGGGGCACAGAGAATTGGATAAAATCATCACAAGCAGTATGTAAACTACTTTGCAACTCTGAATCCAGAAGCTGGATGGTGCCTGGAAGAGGAATACAGCATAGAATTTTCCAAATATATGGAATGTTCCCACAATTCCACTGAGGAGGTATTCTTTCTCTCAATTTTATTTTCCCTTCCTTCGTCTACATTAATGATAAATAGGGGCTTAAATCCCACAACCTCAACCAGGGCACAAAGTATGCCACCAGTCATTGTAGAAAAATCAACAAGACTAGGTAGATGGAAGGCTAGGGAGAGGTGGTGACAAATTGAGGTCACTCTGAAAATGAGAAGTTGGCAATCCCTCTCATTATAACTCCAACAAGGAAGTCAGGCTGAAAGAGCTCTTTAATATCTGGGTAAGACTGGAGGAAACCTGAGGAAATAGAGCTAAAAGGAAATGACTAGCGTGCGTTCTTTATTATTAAAAGGATATTGTATTCAAAACTCTGAAGTTTAAAGAGATGAGCAAGAAAGGGTTTAACTTGGATCCTTAAAGAATATGTTTCTAAGATGCTTAATTCTTGCAGGAAAACAATAATGGTCCTTGAAGATAAAATGTAGAGTGTTAGTCATAATCCAACATTCTTACCTTCCTGGCATGGTATCTGGGGCCTTGCCCAGGCGGGGCACCAGATGCAGAGTGGGGGAAGAGGTAGGGATAATATATAAACCAGGGCCAACAGCAGAGTTAGCATTCAGAAGAAGAAACAGAAAAAGTAGCAAGGCATGAACTCTTATGTAAGTCTAGCTGGAAAAACAGCATGAATAAGTAAGGCAATCACTTGGCTTAAAAAGAGGGTGAATTAAACTCACTAGGCTGCTCACCCAGTAAAGGGTCTGTCTCCAAGGAGAGAAAGTCTGAAACAGCAGAGGCTTCACCTTACCTTTACAGCCACACTTCTTGCATGTGGTGTTCAGGACAGCCTCGAGGGTGATCTTCTGCCCAGTGTAATCCTGGAAGGACCGCCTCCGCCTCTCTTCTTGCCTGTCACAAAAAGGATACTGTGTCTGTTGGCTCTCTTAAGAGATGTGGCCAGATATACTACACGGTAATGCCATATGTTGGTTTTTTGTTTTGCTTTTGGCAAGGAGAAGGAAGAAAGAAGGAAAAGTGTTGGGCATAAGAAGATGGGCAATAAAAGCAATGAGGTGAAATAGTTCTTTCATTCAGGACAAGGCTCTGAATTAATAATTATGAACGAAACTAGACTTCATCTCACTGATGCACAGAGGATAAAGACATAATTACTCCCCTCGTTAAATCCCCTACAACCCTTACAAGGTCACTCCTGGGTTGAAAAGACCTTCAAAGGCTTCCTGGAAAATCAAGTCCAAATTCCTTACCTTGACATTTGAGTCCTTTCATAGTTTGTCTTCCTTTAACTTACTTTTCCAGCCTCATATTTACCTATACAATATGCTTTAGCCAAACCAGGCTATTTTACCTTCTCCAGAAGGTTCACTGCTTTTGCTCATGCAGTTCTCTCTGAAATGCTCTGCTTCTCCTCTTTCCTCCCACCTCACTAAACCCAAACACAGTAAGGCTCAGCTGAATTACCACCTCTCCTTCTACCAAGTCTCCTGCCCTGAACCCCTCAGCCAGAATTAATCTTTGTTCACATTCCCATAGCACATTTAAAAACTCCAAGCTTTTGACCAAGGTATAATATACATAAAGAAAAGTGTTCCTAGCATACAGCTTGACTGATTTTCAATTTGAACATACCCAAGTAACCAGTACTCAGATTAAGAAACAGAATATTACCTGCACCTCAGAAGCTCCTCTAGTTACCATGCCTCCCCTAGTGGTAACCACTATTCTGATTTCCTACAGCATAGATTAGTTTTATCTATTTTTGTAAATTATTTAAATGGAATAATAAAATATGGACTCTTCTGTATCTTTTTTTTCCCCACTTGTGAGATCCATTCATATTGTTGTGTGTAGTTTGTTCTAATTTGCTGTATTTTGCTGTTGATGTAAGGTATTTGGGTAATTTCTATTATGAACAGTGCTTCTATAAACTTTCTAGTACATGTCTTTTGGTGAACATATATATACTATCTGCATTTCTAATGGGAAATGCCTAGCTCCAGGTAGGAGTGGAACTACCAGGTTGTGGGCATCAGCTTTAGCAGACACTGCCAGACAGTTTTCCACAGTGTGCTTAACAATTACGCTCCTATCAGCAGAGCCTAAGTACCCCAGTTATCTTAGCTCTAATTTTTTACCCTTACTATAACACATGATACCTGCACAGAGAAGGTTCTCAGGAAATGTTTAATTGAAGAGTATCACCTTAGTCACTCTCTTTCAAACTCTGTGTCCTGTACACACTTTAATCTTAGCACATATCATACTTTATTGCACCACATATTTATGTTTCTTCTCCAGATCATGAGCACTTTTTGCAATATTTTACTTGTGTTTGTTTTCCTTGCACCTTAACCCAAAGCATGACAAGCAATGACTATCAATAAAAGTTTGCTATTTACCTAAACTATTCTTTCTTTACCTGAATCTCTTTTAACTTTAAACTCTGACTTTACCTAAGATTTTCCAACTATTCACTGAGTCTCTATGGAGTCCAACAAAACAGAAATATTCTGCTGAAAGAGTCACATTACCCAGAGAAATGCAGGATGACAATATCAAAGCAGAACAAAGCTTAGCCAGCATTTTCATGATATATGCAGGCTCAGGAGTGGAAATGGGGAGAGCAAAGATATTCCATATTCTTGTCTCAGTCACTCTTGAAAGTTCAGCTAAAATATTACGTCTTCCATAAAATTCTCCCTTTTACCACCTGCAGAGTTTATAATTCATTTTATTTTGTTAGATTTTTCACCTCACCTTCTATAACATGTACAGGACTTCAAAGGTAAAGTCTATGTCTTATTCTTCTCTATATCTAAGCAGGGAGCACTGTCTAGCACACTATATCCAACAGAATGAAATAATGGACATGTTCTACAAAGTTATGTCTGTACTTTTTATTATTTATGTCTGCAGCTACTGAGCACTTCAAATGTGATTACTGATTGAGGAACTGGGTATTAAATTTTATTTAATTTCAATTAATTTACATTGAAATAGCCATATGTGACTAATGGCTACCTACTCAGACAATACAAACAAGCATATGATTTAAGTTCTGAAATGTCTGCTCAAATCCCTAGCTTTTTTTACCCTAGGAGAATCTTACTCAAATGATAGGGGTCTGATATGAATCATGTGAGAGGGTCCTTTCAAAGGGTGAAGCTTAAGTACTAAAAACAAAGGCAGGGGGAGTGGAAAGAGAAATAGGGAGTTACTTTTCAACAGGCATAAAGTTTAATCAAGATGAACAAGTTCTATAGATCTAATGTACAACATTGTATCTATAGTCAACAGTACTATGCTGTACACTGAAAAAGCTGTCCAACACGTAGATCTGATGTTGTAGTCTCACCATAATAAAATAAAATTTTAAAAAATAGGGCAGGGTCTTTGAAGACATACCTTGAGTAGTCACCAGCTCCATGGCTTTCACATGGCCTTATTTGTAGAGCTGTGTTTCAAGTGAGCTGAAGGTTAAGCAAACCCTCATTATAATAAATTCCAATACTCTGTGGATTCTAACATACTACAAACCAAATCACACCTAACACAATTCAATAAATGTGTCACTCATCACATGTCTCCTGCTCTGTCCTTATTGCCATCATGCTAGTTTAGGGTTCATTACATTTCTTTTATTTTTTATATTTTTATTTATTGATTTTAGAAAAAGGGAAGAAGAGAGCATGTAAAAGTGCATGTTAGAGAGATACAGAGGGAGAAAGAGAAACACTGGCTTGTTGTTCCACTTACTGATCCATTCATTGGTTGCTTCTTGAATGTGCCCTGACTGGTTATCAAACCTGCAACCTTTATGTATTAGGACAACTCTCTAACCAACTGAGCAACCCAGCCAGGGCTTAGGCTTCATTACATTTCACCTAAATAGTAATAATACTTTCACTGATCTCTCTGCCTCCAATCTACCCAACACACATAGTTGGATTAATCCTTCTTTTTTCAGTTGAATTAGCAAGTGGCAAGCACCAGAGCTAGTACTAGTGATATGCATAAGTATATTAAAATGATAGAACCTGGTCTTTTTCCTGAAGGAGCTGACAGTCTAGCAACAGAGGGAGATATATAAACAGATAATAATAATGTGGTGAATCATAAATGCTCTTTCTAAAGACTATACTGTGCTGTCTAACCTAATTGGAAACTGACTTTAACCCCTTCCCATTTGCAGAATCACTTATTAGATGACCCTGTTAAGTCCTTGGGGCCTGAGGGAATGAAATATAAGACAGCTAGGTTTTGTTTGAAAATGAAAGGTAGCTGACAATCTGGGTGGCCAATGGCAGCATGACGATATTGAGCATAACAGGGCAAGGCCAGAGAATGGAACACCTGGAGAGGATGGTCTGATCAGGAGCCTTTTCCACTTAAAGACTTTAAAAAAAATCCACATTCTTTGACTGATATCCAAAGCTCTTCACAATCTGACCCCAATATATCTTTCAAGGTTTACACCCTAGTACTTGACTACACCCTCACCTTTCCTTAAACAAGACTCCTGAATGTGTCATGTGCTTTTTTGCCTCATGTCTTTCCTTGAACTATTTCTTCTGCCCAGAATACCATTCCTATCCCTGCTGCCTGACAAACTCTTTATCCTTTCCTGGCTAAGGTGCCAGAAAAACAAACATAAGTAAAATTTTGCAAAAAAATTTTGCTCATGGTCCAGAGAAGAAACATAAATATATGGTGCAATAAAGTGTGATATGTGCTAAGACTGAAGTGGGTATAGGATATAGTCAGGGAAAGAAATGTAGAATGGTTAAGACCTTAGTTATTCTTAGGTCTTCAAGACCTAGTTCAAGTGCCACTTCTCTTATCATCGGGGCTTTAAATCAACTCTTCCTCTTCAAGCTAATTCCTAGAATCCTTTCTTTAAACTATTCTTTTAGCATTTATTACATGTTGCTTTATATTAAAGTTATTTGCATAATTATTTCATTACACTAGGCAGTAAGGTCCTTAGGCAGAAAACTTGGTATTGCCATTGTACCTCAAGTAGAATATGAACCCAATGAATAGTTCTTGAATAAAGGAATAAATGGATGTACTAACTAAATGACTGCTATACATCAGACACTTTGGGAGATAAGAAAGGTAAGATGCAGCCTCTGTTCTTGTGGCCTTATACATTCTTTCAAAAGAAAAGGTATGATAATCTCGGATGTTAGAAGAAAAACAAAGAAGCATAAAATAGTAACTACAAATAGCTATTATAAATTAAGTTTCTATTATAGACTGGACAATAAGCTAGGCTCTTTACAAACAAGATTTTATTTCAATCATTCCATCATTTCTGAGATGTAGGTGTCATTACCTCCATTTTATAGTGAAGAAGTTAGGATTCAGAGAAACTAGGTAATCTGCTCAAGGTCATATGCTATGTCCTGTACACACTTCAATCTTAGCACATATGGGACAGAATTCGGACTCATCTGATTCAAGTCTAATTCTAAAACCTGTCATCATTCCACTATGCCATGCTTCTTTCCTGGATGCAGCTCTAGAAATAGTTACAACAAAAGTTACTGTCCAGCCCCTTGGTTATTACTAGAAATATATACATGGAAACATATCTAGTATAAACCCAAGGAGCTCTTTCACTTCCCTACCCTTGTTTTGAGAAAGAGAAGTAGCTCTTTTTATCTTACTTGTTTTTGTATTTTACCCTTATAAGGATGGCTTTGGGAAATGTCACTGCTTCTTAATGAGTCTTTACAGCATAGAATTATTTGGAGCAGAAGCAATTTATTACAATGCAATCGGCAAAGGCCAGAATTAAAGAACATTTCTGAGCTGAGTCATAAAAGATTTCTACTGTAACTGGAAAGTGTTTTGTCAATAATCAGCCCTACAAACATGTCAATATTTAGAGACCAAACTACAGAGATATGAAAAACTCTGTGAGTCACATGCAACAGTTAGAAGCATCATGTGGTGAAAAGGGCATTAGCTTTAATGTCAGAGAGACTGAGATTAAAGATCCTAACCCACTATAATTTGCTTATAGCAAATTATAATTATAATCACAGGCAAGTTATTACTAAGCATCAAGCTAGAAACTAGAAAGAACACCCCGTCTTTGCAGGTTGTAATGAGTATTAGATGTACTAATGTACAGAAACTGACTTGTATAATACCTAGCACATAGTATATATCTAATAAATATCACTTCCCTTCCTTTTAGGTACAATTCCTTCCATATCCAGAGTCATTTCACTGAGAACAATAAACATAGGATTTCCAAACTTTTCATCACCAAGATCCCACTCAAATAACATTTTTTGTTTGTTTTTTAAAAATTAATAACTGCCACTGAGAGCACCTGATTAGCATGAGATAAATAATGGGGTATTTTATCATCAAAAGCAACAAAATGATGTCATAGTTAACCTGAGGATAAATGTATGATTTTGGTTGACTTTTTAAAATACTGGAAACAGTTCAAAAACCCCTAAAACTCCTTTACAAGGGATTTTAAGGATCTAGGAACCCCTGGTTAGAAATCACTGGCATATATTCAAGAAATACTTTGAGACAGATGGTAAATTCCCTATATCACCAGACATTATTCTATATAAACAGAAAATCTTCCACAGCTAAGTTAAAGGTCAGAAGAACTGAAAGTAACTGTGCTCAGAATACAGTGCACCCAAAGATACAGGCATCTAAGCCCCAATGGAGTGGCTTCTAAGTTACCTTACCTTCCTTTTTGGTCTCTACTTTTTTCAGTCCCAGTGCTAGGAGAGAAGCAAGTAACAGGTACTTCAGGAATGTTTATTGGCTAACTGGTTAAAGGACAGAAACAGAAAAAGAATAAGGAGAAGAAAACAAAACCAACAATGGATCACTACTGTGCTGGGAGCTTTGCATGTTAGAAGTGTTATCTATAATACTTTATACCTCTCTAAAAACCAAAAATCATGAAGGTTATAGTACTCATCACAGTCTGTAAATGGCAGAGTTTCCAGGTCAGCCTGATTCGCTACAGCATTCTATGGGTTCAGGAGCAGAATTTTAGCCTTTCCAAACCTTTTACCTACTCAATGATAACATTGTTGGGGTCAAGGTCTTTCCCAGTCCCTTGGTTGACGACTTTCATGGAGAGGGATACTTTTATCCTATCATTTTTCATCTGAAAAAGACAAAAGCAAAGTCACCAAGAGCTCACAGTACATCATTTAGACTTCTGGTCTAGAAATATCTAAGAATCAAAGTTTCTGTCATCACAACAAACAGTGAACTCCTTTAATGGCCAAGGTCCTGTGCTAACAGCATTGGTGGTACTGCTAAGCATAATAGGCAGATTCTGTGGCAGAAGACTTTCAGGAAATGGTTTTTATCTCATTTTTGTTCCTCTTGGGGTGGGGGTGGGGGGACAAAAATGGTTGCTCAGAAATCCAAGGCTTGTAGAAGTAACCCAGCAGCAAAGAAAAGCTGTTTCTTCTAGGTAGGTTCAGCATAATGATCAATGCAGAGATCCATGAACCAAGAATGGGTTTCAGAACATTCCAGTAGACTAGATCTCCTTTTGGACTTAGTCTAGAGCTTCTATAAACATGAACACTATTGTTAGCCACATTGGTCTTTTTATGCTTCCGCTAGCACTTGAAGCCCTTCTTCACTGCAGGGTTTTTGTACCAGCCATTTTCTTTTCCTAGAATATTCTTATCCCAACTTTTCATGACTACTTCCTTTTACTTTGGGTCTCAGCTCATATACCATCTCCTCATAATGCCTACTCCTGACCACTCTATCTAAATTTACCTCTCACATTGTTTGGACCCATTATAGTATTTACCATGATTTGTAATCATTTTAAATTATTTTAATTTGTTTACCTTTGCCTCTTCCAGTTATATTCTATATAAGCTCAGTAACAGCTGGGGTCATTTATGTATGGTTCACTTTTGTATGCACTTCAGACCTAGTGCATATTAAGCACTCAAATATTGTTGAATAATCTCTCTCAGGCCTGACTCCCGGGCATTCACTGGTAGAAGAGCGGGCCTCCGTGCATCTTCACATTTCTCCTGTGGTCTACCCACACACACAACCCACATACCCTCAAGTGAGTTGTTAACGGGGTCCTTTGGAGCTTTCTCATTTCCCTCATGCTTCATGGCGCCAGGTCTTAGGAAAAAATGACTGTAAACTCTTAACGTTCTTTTTGTTTTGGTTCAAACTGAAGTATAGCTGGCAAGAATTCTTTAAAGTTTATGATAAAGACTATTAAAAACTAGTTCCATAGATTAAGTTTCCTTCTTTCCTTTTAGTTCTTTTTTGGTTTTTCTTCACATCCACCAACTGGGTAAACTTCAGGGAGGGAAATTTTATAAACATGCACTTACTGCACCACACTTATTGAAGTTCATACCATTCCTTCTGAGTCTGCAGAAGAGCCAGACAGAAGGTTTAAATTCAGTTCAGATAATGGTGGCAAGATTCTAAATAAGATTCTCAGCCCGGTTAACAACATACAGAATTTATGAAATTCTATACCTCACTATAATGAAATACCAAGAAAATCCCAGCTTTTCTTAATCCTTTCTAACCAGATGAAAAAGTTGCATGGAATTTTACCTCTCGGCCAATAAGCTTCACCCATACTTTGTCTCCAACATCTACTATCTCAGAAGGCTTATCCACACGACAGGATGACATGTGAGTTCGATGGACCAGACCTGGGCACAAGAAAAAGAAATAAAGAACAAGATATGTCTGGCCTTACACTCTATGTTTGGATACTCTGAACAACAAAATAACAATGAGATGGCAGCTGGGTCCCTGGCTGGTGTCGCTCAGTGGGTTGAGCACCAGCCTGCAAACAAAAAGGTCACTGGTTCAATTCCCAATCAGAGCACATGCCTGGGTTGCGGGCCAGGTCCCCAGTTGGGGGCATGTGAGAGGCAACCTATCAATGCTTCTCTTTGCATGTCAATGTGTCTCTCCCTCTTTCTTCCTCCCTTTACCTCTCTCTAAAAAAATAGAATCTTAAAAAAAAAAAGAAAGAAGATGGGAGTTGGGGATTCACTGAAAAAATGTTCATTGATTTAATATTGAAAATTAAAACAATTTCAGATCACTTTTTATATCGAATCAACAAATATTCTTTAAAATAGTGCTCAATGTTAGTAAAATTTAATACAACTACACTTATATAATATGGTAAAAATACAAGTTGGTAAAAATCTTTAAAGCAAAGAGCATAAAGATGCTTATAGCTTCGATGCAAAAATATCATTAAAATTTTTCAAAAGAAAAAACCTCAGAGGCAAAAACCTATGGGCATATAAAAATACTTGCAATATTATTACCTACAGAGGTTACAATAAAAATTATAAAATAACCTAAATGACCAATAATTGAAAAATAGCTTGGTAAACTATGGTAAATATCAAAAGCAAGAGTAAGCAGCTATTCAAATTACAGTTACAGAGGATATTTATGATAGCTGTTAAATGAAAAAAGGAAATCCAAACAAGGTACAATTTTCAATCTATTAAATTAGCAAAATATTTAGAAAATAACAATACTCAAAGCTGATGATAATAAAACAAGAAATATTGCTAGGGCTAGCATGTCAAGAGTGATAAAATATTTAATAAAATTTTTAAATAATTACAACATGTAATAATTATTATATAGCTTAATAATGACACAATCACATATTTACAACAGATGCTCTTTTCCTGTCTGCCCAAGGTCCTTTCCTAGGAGAACACCTTCATTGCATTCTAAAGCCCATGTAATCTGGTTGGAGCTGATCTAACCTCCAACTGTGGGCCCAGACACAGGCTTAGCCAATCAAGGAACTTCACCCTCCTGGCCACAGTAACTGATTGGTTCAGGGACAAACAAAAGACATTAGCTAAATCTTTTTCAAGACTTTTGTCAGGGTTATAAACTACAAAAATTAAAAATGCCCATCTTTACCACCAGGTGGCAAAAGTCAGCCAGAAGGAAGCAAAGAAGAGCACTGGCAATCAAGAGACAAATCCCTGAAGACATAAACTAATCACTGATACAGCCCTGATGGAAGCTCCATTTATCCTGCACTCCCTAGCAAAATTAACAAAACATTTCTCAATTGTGCTTCTACCCTTGCACCAAGAGTTCTGACTAACAATCTGACATATAATCACCTGTGGGACTCTGTCCTAAGAAAACAGTCTTATACATAAGGAAAAGCTAGATGCATCTGGGAAAGCTATCTACATCAAAATATGCAATGTGTTTTTAAGAGAGAAAAAAATTAGAAACAACCTAATAGCCAACAACAGGGTAATGGTTAAATGAACTATAGTATAGCCATTTGATGCTACATTAAAAACAATGTTTAAAAGATTACATAAAAATGTCAGTAATTCATTTTTAATAAATACTTAAGTGCCTACTATGTGTCAGGTACTATAAGCAACTAGCATTTTTCCATGTAAATAACAAAATACAATGCAAAATTGCATAATGCGATTGCCAAGGCTTAAAGTAGATTTTTAAAATTACAAAGAAATGATCCAAAATGCTATGACATTGGTTAAACTAGGGTATAAAATTACAGGTTTTTTTCTTTTATGTTCAATTTTTTTTTTTTAAACATGGCTCACTTTATTCATTGACTTTAAGGCTGTTGTTTTTTTTGTTAGATTTTATGTTTTTATTTTTAAAGAGAGGGGAAGGAAGGAGGAGAAAGAGAGGGAGAAAAACATCACATCGATCTGTTGCCTCTCACATGCCCCCAGTTGGGGACATGGCCTGCACCCCAGGCATGTTCTCTGACTGGGAATCGAACCGGTGACCCTTCGGTTACCATGGTTACTGGACCTCATTACAGCTACTTCAGCTGATTCTGGAGGTTGACAGCCTATCTCTCTGAATAACTCTGGTGCCTCCAAAGTGTTTTATACACCCCACATTTTTAATTTTAGACCATTACATAATCTCCAAATTGGGCAAATTCCAAGGAGATGGGGTTCCCACCCCCAATGCTATGATGAAGTAGTTAGCAGACCAGCCTAACTGAAAAGTCTGGAGAGGAAATTCAGGGGTCCTAGAGGAAAGAGAAACCTTCCACGTTGACATTTTTGGCTACTAGAGTCCTCTAATTCTAAAACTCACTTCTGTCCTCAATTGCTAATGGAAGTTGTGAAGGAAATTAATGTTAAACCTAAACACTTCAATTTTCATATTTCGTAACATAAAAACTTCATAATGGAAAATATGCTCATCAGTATCACTATCAACTAAATAATAATAAAAAAAAAACCAACCTAAATACTTCAGAAAATATTTTTTTTCTTTTCTGAAACAGAAGGTCTACGTATTGGAGTACCAAAAACAAAGAAATAATGGCATTGACCATTTTTTGTCCTCTAATCTGATCTCTAAGCAAATTATTTTTTGGTCTGGTCACCTCTCCTGGTTAAACCCTTCTCAAAGTATTAAATAGTTTAAAACTGGAAACAAAAGGTCATGTGGTACACTTGAATGATAGAATAATGCCACTGCAATGTTTATTAAAAGTATTTTAAAAGATGGAGAAATGTTTATGTTTCAAAGAGCATAAAAAGATACAAAATGAATATATATAGTATAATCTTAATCTCAACATTTCATTTTATGTACATATGTAAACACACCAAATGTTAACAGTGCCTATCTGTGTGGTAGTAATATCATACAAAGATCATTTTCTTTTGTAGTTTTCTCCTTATTTTTCTATAATAAGCATGCAATCATAAAAACATTTTAAAAGCAAAATGTAAAATGAAATGTACACTATAATTGAAATTATGTAAAACTATGTCTCATATGGACCAGACAAAAGGAAATACCAAAATACTTATCCTAGGGTGTAGGATTTTTATAGTTAAGACATAACTGGCTTATTACCAAAAGGCCTTAGCTTACAGGGTGAATTAAACAAGGGAAATGGGCTAGCCCTCAGTTTTGAATGCAAATGTCAAGTAAGCACTCATACATCTCAATCTGCCACTCAGAGGAGTGGCATGAATTAGAGATAATATATTTAGGAGTCTTCAGCATGCAGATGCTTATAATACTAAAATATATTAACCAGATTGTCAATTTGGTGATTGGTTCAGGGGTGGACACAATTTACCAGTTTACTAATTTGCAATAGAGGGTATTCTTGTCTTATACCTGGAAGGTTCCCAGTCCTTACCTAGGTAAACTGCCACTGCCCCAGTATCAAATACCTGAAAAATTGGACTCATGATCAGAAACTGCTTCAACATGAAATTAGAACAAAAGGGAGACAAATATTTTGAGATATTTTTCCAGTCTACAAAAGCTTAACAGGCTATCACTTCCTCATAAAAGAATCCATCTCTCTAGCTCCTGCCATCAGATTCATTTCTGCCCTAAATGAGGCAAGACAGACACTTCAGACTCTGGGGCTTTCTTTCACTGTGTTCTGGGCTGACAACCCCCCAACCTGTTCATATAATCTCTTCCTAGACAAACCATGACACAATCAATTAGATTATAGTCTCCTAAATTACAATTTCATTCCAATGCCTTTTCCCTGGATTTATACCCAGATTATCTTGTTGAGTCTTGCATGCTCCCATCTCTTCAGTCACAATTTATAGGCAATCGCCTGGTATATATCTATGGCTAATCCTATACTCTGTATAGGGGATTCATCATCATTAGTTTTATTTTTCAGAAGACAGAAATCAGCAGTCTCTGATTCTTGGGAAGTAGGCTTTTGGGCAACTGTCACCCACACACACCAACAGGTGCATTAAGTGTATGAGATACAGGGCACTAAATAGAACATTTGAGGTTCCCTCACTCTGTGCAGTACCTCACTAGAAACAGAGTATTAACCCATTTATGTAATCCTTACATCAACCCTGTGACAGAAGTTCACACCAGGAAATAGTTCAGAAATTAAATAAACTGCCCAAGGTCACAGTTGATAAAGAAAGGACAATTCAAATATGAGCATCTGTCAGGTCTCCAAAATTATACTGATATCGTTTCATTTTTTTACTTATTATTGATCTGTGTTATCTTTCAAAAAAGGAGAAAGATGATATCATTTACAAACAACAGAAAGGCATCTAATTCTGCTCTAGCACATGCTCCAAAACAAAACAGAAACAAAAACACTTGGCTTGTTATGCGCATGGAAAGGAGTGCTTCAGGGCAGCTTGTGTCTGGATTTCTGACATTGAGCCATAAACACCCAGAGGCCATATCAAATCCATTATTGACACTTAAACAGAATGAGTCCCATCTGAGTGTTTGCTCATTAAAAGGGAAAAAAAAGGGAAAATTCTGACAACTTGGAAAGGGCTAGCATGTAAGAAAGACAGAGCTAGCCTATTAAACTACCTGTAAAAGTAGTGTCTCAACTGTGTTAGGTTCAATATTAATTTCCTTCACAACTTCCACTGGTAATAAAAGCTGAAAATTACAAACCATCAGAGGACAGCTACAGCCAAAAACTGTCAAAATAAAAGAACTCCCTTTACTTTTGGGGGATCTAAATTCCCTCTCCAGACTTTGCAAATATTTTCGCCAAACAATGGTATATGACAATATGTAAGCACATAAGTTAAAGTGCTTTCACATCCTTTATCTTGTGGGATTATGGATTCATCCAAACACTTACTGAATGTCCATTCACCATATCATAAGCAAAGATGAATCA